AGTGATTCTATGATTCTATGTTTAATAATATGTATTAGGAACAGAAAGAATGTGGGTCTGTGTATGACTGTTTTCTAGTTCAGAAGAATATTAAATGTAGGTCTAAACACGGATGAACTGGTCATTGTTGCCTTGAGCAGCAGTGTGCCATGAGGAGCTCCCCAGTCTATCTCCTTGTCTCCCACGAGCTGCAGATGGGTAGTCTTGGCTGCTAATGCTGCAGGAACCACTACCAAGAGAGGTATTGAACTGTGATTTGACAGTGACTGATATGACAACCACAGCCAGCAGGAGCAGTCACCACCACCTTTGCCCAGTTGTGCAACTGGAGTAAAAAGCCTGACACTGAGTGCTCGCCTGGAGATCTCTATCCTATCTTGTACATCCCCTCATGGACATCTTTTGTGTTATAGAAATTGTCTATCGTTGCTGGTTTTCATCTGAGGCATAGCAAAACTGAATTTTCCAGAACTATTGTAAACCAAAAGCTGGATAGGAAGGGGGTTTTCAGTTTTTTTGTGGTTTTTGGGTTTTTTTTGTTTTTTTTAATGCTAGGTAATGTTAATTTAAAAAGGTTTAGCTGGTGAAATAGTCCTATTTTCTTCAGGCACTTTCTTCTTTAAACACAAGATGGCACTACTGCTATTTAAATGGGTTCTTGTTTCCTCTTTCCATTTAAATTATTGAGGTTTTTGACACATTGTTTTGATTTTTTTTTTGCATAGCACATTAATTCATAATTTATAGCAATGGCATCCTTGTTAACAATTCATGTATCCTCTTTTCCTGTTAATGAGACAGTTCAGTGTTTGTAGAAAATTGTCTCACAGATGTGTTGTACCTTATTGACCTAGTTCACACAGCTGGTCTTTCACGAAGGAACGAAAAGCTAAAGCTGTGAATTGACTCTTAATAACCAACACAGTTGTTTATACTCAGTACTACATGCTATATCTACTGTTATGTAGTATCTCTTTTTGTCAGTTTTCTCAGAGTTGTTAAAACTGTGTGTTAAACATTAACTAATCATTGATGGTATTCACATATGGTAAAAGCTGTGAAAAGAAAAAAAATAACTCTTATTTTCCATACTTGAGTTGTTGTTCAGTATCTAAGCTTTTTATGATTTATATGTCTAGCACAGAAAACAAATTTTACGATGAGGAACACCCATCTTGTAATTCACACTTCCAGATGAGGTTCCATGATCTCTTTTTCAAGCTGATATAAGTTCAAGCTGACAGCAAAAAGATGGGATCCTGGTCACTAGTGCTCTTTTGTACCATGGCTTTCTGTCTGTATAGCTGAGCTCTGGCCTGAAGCAGGAGTTGACCCTTAGCAGAAGCTTCATTTAGATGAATTTTGGCCTCGCCATTAAGCTGGGCAGATAGCAGTGATAATGCAAGGATGAGAGTAGAAAATGTAGTTGGACTGCCCTTTTTGAGTTTCAGACTGCGCTAAAATAAGTTAGTGACTAGCATTTCAGCCTGAGAGTAATTTCAATTTAATTTGATTAGGACCTACTTTTAGCACTGACACATGAAGGAAATGAGAAGATTATTTCTGGAGTCTTATTCTCAAATTTTTATAATGTATGACAGGAATAAAAGTGTTCAACTATTCAGATAACTAGCATTTGCAATATTGATGAGCATAATGGATGATACAATGAACTATTTTGCATTTTGAAGGATTGGAAATAACTTTAAATCACATGCTGTTCTTCAGGATATATAGAAAATGGAGTTATTTCTGTTAAAATGATAATTAGAATGAGTTAACTCAATTTTTAGCTGAGAGAAGCAGCAAGATTCAGCCTGCTTTATGACTGGTATCCATTACAAGGTATTCCTGGAATTATGAGTGTTCTCAACATCTACTTTAGGTAGAGAAGTATTACCCTTAAAAGATAATGAAGAATTAAATAATACATCAAAAATGAAGCATGTGGCTGAGAAATAAATTCAGATTCTAGCCTTGGTCAAGTAGTTAAGATACAGAAAAATTATTCCTTCTCCAGTAACTGTTGAAATAAAGATGGGAGGGGGATGTATGGCTACTAGTTTACTACTGACTTTTATTTTAGTAGCATGTCTTAGCATTGTTCTGCATTTTAAATGGACTGCAAGTTTTCCATTCCTATAAAGAAAATTTTCCAACTCGGGGCTGAGTTCAAGTGCTATTTCTTCCTTTAGCAAAATTATCAAAATTATATGTTTTTTGTTTGATCGTGTTGCAAATGTTTATGCTGCTGATTTTATGATTCTGTAATGTGTTTGTTCTTCTAAGGTTGCAGATTGCATCTCAAATTACTAGCTTTTTATACATGTGCACTAATGTTTTAGCATAATTGAAAGTTCATGTTTTCTCTATTTTAAATACCTCCAGGTTTGATCAGGGAGTGGTGCAGAAGGAGGCTATGGGATGTTAACTTTCTGTAAACTTCAGTGCACATTATTGCAATATCCAAGAGTATTGTATTCTATCCTCTCACCTGAGGAGATAAAACTTGAGGTTGAGCCAAAGCAAAATTCATCCATTCCATCCAGTTCTGCCTGAAGCCTAAGGAGAAATGAAGCTTGGCAAAAGTCATTAAAAAAATCTGTATTTGGGGATTTTTGCTATTTTCCATGTTTTACTTTGCACCTCTCGCTTGTGGAAGTGAGGCTCTGCTTTAGTAGAAATCCTGTTGAGTACTCCAATTCATGTTATAAAGAATGATACATTAAACATTGGGAAAGAGGCAAATAAAGGCCAGCAGAATCATGTTTATTCTTTTTTAAAAAAGATATACTTCACTTTCAGCAAAGATGTCCAGGAAGCTAAGTTTGCCAACTGAGTTAAAGCCTGATTTAGGTAAGTTTACATAGTTGATTTTACTTTTAATAAAACTGTTGTACAGAATGAGAGCATGTTAAAGTAAGAGTCCTAAATTATATAAACTATCGTGACTTCATGTTGTATTTATCTGAAGTGTCAAACTAAAATTTCAATTCCACTCTTTTTGGGGGCTCTCAGGCACAAAATGTCATTGGTGTCGTCATAAGGTAAGCCTGCAAATCTTGAGCATGGCTTATCGCACTTTCATCATAATTTTTAGGCATCTGTCACTCACTTTATCAGTAGTGCTGTGATGGCAAAAGTGTGAATAAGCAGGTAATGTAAGGAAAATGGCTTCCTGTCTAGAACGATCTGATAAATTTTAAATTAAACAATGAAGTATCTTAAGAATAACAGGATATGTTGCAGTCCACTCAACAAATAGTTGGCATAGTTTTACAAATGTTGGTTGTCTTGTGACCACTCTCTCTAAATGGATATAATACACAGTTGTTTGGATGGATGACCAGTCTGAGAATTTCATTTTTCTTGTAAAAGTGCAGTACCTTTTTATATAAGAAGCAGTTCAGATGTGAAGTCTATCATACTGAAGGTCATGATATTGCATAACTAAAACAGCATACACATGAGTAGATGCGGTTTTTTAGTACTTTGCCAGCTTTTAGATCAGATCCAGCTCCCCAGCCTTGTTCTCTAAAAATGATGGAGCACAGCTGTAGACCTACAGCATTAGATGCAGCCTGAATGAGGAAGATGCCTTCTGCCTGCCCCAGCTTGCTCCCCTTTTTGCATCAGAATTGCTACAACCCCAGTAGAAGACAGACCAGGGTCAGACTGGCAGCTGCTGAACTCTGTATTTGACAACTGCTGCTAACAGCAAGGAGAGAGTGCATGGCACTGGGACATCCTGAAACTGAGCTGGACCACCCCAGTTTGCCTTTTACAATTACAGCTTGCTTCACTCAATGAAGTTGGAAGGAACCCTTAGAGATCTTTAATCTATTGCTATGGCAAGGATCCAGATGTCTGACAAGTTAACCTCTCATCTATTCATGGGCCTCCAATAAATGAGGTTTTAGAAAAATCCTAGACAAAGCTCTGATGTTTTACAGTCAGTCAGATGAATTTCCTGTTACTTCATCAATGTTCCTTGCTTCCATATTAACTTTTTCTTGTCCTTTCTACAGTGAACAGGGATAATGAGTGCCCCCTATCTTTTCAGTTTAGCCATCTTTTATGCTGTTGAAAGCTATCATCATATCTAACTTTTGGTTTTGCAGATAACTTTTTACAAAATTCAGTTCCTTCTCCTTTCCTAGGTTATGTTGTCTAAATGTAGGATTGGCTTCTGGTAATCTCCTTTGGACATGGAGTTTTTTCTCATCTTTCTAAAACTTATGCCCAGAACAAAAGTGATTTAACTGTGACCTTGTTGGTACAAAAGAGCAGAAAAAATGGATTTCTCTTTTCAATCTGTGTACTTTCTTACTACATTTACTAATGGTTTAAGGATAACTTCAGGTTAGAGTGAATTTTATCATACTTTGCAAACTGGACCACATTTGTACTTAAGTAATATCCAATTCATTCTAATTCTACTTTTGTTTTACTCAGTTTTTTGATAGCAACAAGTACTTAGAACTTTTTTATTAAGGAAGACTGAAGAAAAGAATGCTGAATTTTTTTCTGTATTTTCCAGTCCTGGAAGAGTTTTGGCATTTTCTTCATCATTTAATATATGCTGTTCTTGCTACGGAAATACTGGAAAACTTTTTTTGTCATCTCACTTGTAGTGTACTCATAAAACAGATTGTATCTTCTGAGTTGTAATGGCCTTTGACTGGTTTTGCTTGACTTTGCATGTGTGTGGATATCTGCACTTAGGTGTCTCGTTTTTGTTCTGTGTAAAATTATTCTCGGTTTTGAGGTCTGTAAATAACTTGGGCAATTGGGGGTTTTTATTCTGTCTTTTCCCCTAATGGGATAGATTTGCCTAGTGTTCTTCAGGGATGGTCAGCTTGCTTGTGGGGTTTTTTTGTCATTTATGGAGCCATATTTACTGGCTCTAAGAGACATCTGAAATGCCTTTTCCCCAAGTTCTTTATCTTCATAATTTTCTCTCTGTTCTTTCCATGGCTTCTTGAAACCTACTCTTCCTTGATCTCATGCTTTCTAATTACTTTTCTGTCTCTGTATCTTTAACCTGCACCTTTTCATACCAAAAGCAAAGTCTAAAGTATGTGCTTCTGTATTTAACTTCTGTTTTAGAAAGTGGAGGATATCTTGAACATACTCTAGTCTGCATTATACCATTGCTTTTGAATGCTGTAATCCAGATGATTAAGGTACCATTGCCATTAGGTCGGATCCTATGGTTTAGTGGCTCAAAGAGCCTCACCTTTCCAACCTTCTGATGAAGTGGTGTGTAGTAGGTCGTCACACTATTCTTCCTCTTCATCTGAAGCTAATCCGTTAACACACCATAAATTCTTCCTTGACTTCAGGATAAACAATATGCACTAATGCAGTTAAACTCTTACCCTGTTTTCTTTTCTGAATGAGTCATCTACTCTCCACAATGATGTATGGTCTGGCAAAGTTAATTTTTATGGGTTTTTTTCTGTCCATTCCAATGCTTCTGGAATTTGCACGTGTGCTTTTCAAATACTCAACCAATCCACATTTAATTTTATGCCTGTTGCACTTAACGTATGATTACATTCAGACTGATTAATCCATGTTCCAGTTTAAAAAAGAAAAAAGTTAGTAAATAATCATACCTGAAGAAATAAGCATTTTAAGAGGTTGTGGTCATTAAAGAATTATAAAAACAGATAATTGTTTTACTCTGGATTTCTTTTTTTTTTTCTTAATGTGAAAACTTAAGGTGACAGCATCTGAGTGGTTGACCTACTTTCTTTTTATAATCCATGGTTTATATTTGACAGCTAACTTTTGGCAGGACAATAATTTTTCTATCTTTTTTTGGAATGAGACTAGTATCTTCTCAGAACATTCACTGTGTTGAGTAGATGTATGTGTTTAGTTGAAATCTAGTTTGTATGCTAGTTGCATGTATTTCAGTTGCATGTTAGGTACTCTCTGTAGGAAGTTTTGCAGTAACTTGATGAAATTAGCATAGTGGTACTTCCAGAAAGTATGTCGTTAAATGTTGCACTTTACTCTTAATCCTGATTTAAAGATGCCTGTTGCATTTATACCCTACTGAAAGAGACAAAATGTAACTTAATTTTTTTTTAAAACTCATGATAAATTTTATCAAGCTTTTCCTAGTAAGGGTTGTCTTGTGTTTAAAATTTTGGAATGATGAGTTAAAGTAAAACATTAACTTTTGAATGCAGAGGTCAGTTTGGACATGATGATTGTGTTAAGTATCACCACGTGTACAGACAGCGCGCAGCTAGAATGGAGCAACATGTTTACTACTTTGAGGCTTTTGGTAGTATTAGAATGCAGTGTTATAACCTTATTTGGTAAGCAATGAGCAAGACATTCTGAAAAGTGATAGGGCCATTCTGTACAGTATTCAAAACAGAAATCTTCAGCTTTGCTTACCAGTGTTAGGTGGCATTGGTAGCATTTGATGCTGCTCTTACCAAAAGTCCAGGTGCATGTAAATAGCCTGCTAGACCTCCTCCATAGTTTCCTGAAGCAGGACGAAGTTATGCAGGTTAGATGTTGTCATGCTGTCTGGATGCCACAACAGTTTTAAACTAAAATAGTTGCATCTTCATAAGATCATTGAACATAGAAACCAATATTTTTTAATTCAATCAATGAACTAATTGGCAGAGAGGTTTGCAATTAATTTTTTTAAGGAGGAGTCCTGTTTGATAACTGTTACTCTCTGTCCCTAGAAAGACAGAAATATGCATAACAATAGTTCATGACAATTACTTAATGGCAACATCTGCAAAAAGTTGGGTACTTTGTTCAGGATAAAGTGTTGAAAACTGGGCTGAAAGGAAATATGACTAAGGAAGAATAAAGGAATAGTAATCAATAGAACCAAAAAAGAAAATCTGAATTTTCTTAATGCCTGTGTTTGTCATTCTTTTTAATTAAAATACTAATTCCTTTTCAGATGTCAAAGACAACTCTTTCAGTCGATCCCGGAGCTCTAGTGTAACTAGCATTGATAAAGAGTCACGTGAGGCCATTTCAGCTCTTCATTTTTGTGAGACTTTCACAAGAAAGGCTGATACATCACTTTCCCCATGCCTGTGGGTTGGGACCACACTGGGTACAGTGCTCGTCATTGTACTGAACTTACCCCCAGGAGGAGAACAAAGACTTCTTCAACCAGTCATTGTTTCTCCTAGTGGTAGGTACAAAGCAGATGGGGCTAAATTATACTTTGATAAAGTGCTTGTTGTTCTTTGAAATAAACTGGTTTTCTCTATTACAGCTTAATTGGAAATTAATATATACTTTATTGCTCTAGATTGGTTGCTTCATTACCAGAGTTCTAAAGTTGCAGAGTTGAAAGTACAATCTCATATAACAGTATCACTTTAATGTATACTTGCTGAGAGAAGCATGCTTTCTGACCTTAATATAGTATATGGCAATTGTTAAATAGAGACAGCATTTTTTTTTTCAGTTACAAGGTAGGAAACTCCATTTTCCTGCGTCGTGACAGGGGAATACAAATTAAGGGTTGTATATTGAACAACTAGCTTTAAATATTAGTGATAAAATATTCCTTTGCATTGCTACGACAGGTCTTGCATCTTGTTTTTCAGATACACAGCAACTGATTTTGTTGTAATTATGTATTAATAATTTGCTGAATATGCTCTCAGGCATAGATTTAGCTTTCCTGTTAGCACTGTCTCATGCAGAACATGCGGCTCTGCTCCACTTTGTTCACAGTGATGGTATCAGGACATGCAAATTGCAATGCTATTTGATTGAAACAGAGATTAGGAACAGTGTGACCTTTAGACCATATCTGATTTGTGCTTACAGAGTATGTATTGGCAGCAGCATTCAGATTTGGTAACATGATTGTAAAGGCAAGGATGTGGACTGGACAGTGTGTTTAATCACTGGATCTGCAGCGTGAACCTTAAGATAGTGCCGTGTGTATGATTTTTTTGTGTGTGTACTTAGCAAATGTTCATGGTTTTACTTGTATGTGAATAAATATAAGTAAAGAAAGAAATGTATTAGCCTAAGATCTGCCATACAGAGACAGTGATCTACACAGCGGAGAGGGAAAACTTTTCCTTTTTCATTTTATCCTACAGAGAAGTGGATGCAAGTGTGAACTGCAGGAGAAAAAATAGACAGGTTGCTTGTTTCTGCACCTATCTGTATTGAGGGAAGAGGAGGTGCTCACCTTTGACTAACAGCATTTATTGTAGATACTAAACACACAGTGTGTTTCTCAGGAGAGAATGAAATGAGTGTGGTGACACTGGACTTGAACACAGATGTGGATTCCAGTTTGGCTCCCTTAATAAATGTATGCATTTTCATTGAAGTTAATGGAAGGGTATGTGTACTTAACCCATGAAAGCTAGTTTAATATTTTCTTGAATACATATGTGCTCTTGCACGTGCTTCATTGGTTTTCAGATTAATGTCCAGAATTTTGTTTTGCTGCACAGGCAAGCCTAAGTTCTTGGTTAGTTTTCATTTTAGTAACTTCTTAAAGGAATATTTTGTAGCTTGAAAGACAATTTAGGATAAATGTTTCAGAAATATGTTGAACTTCTTTTCCCTAGGAACTATTCTAAGGCTGAAAGGGGCAATCTTGAGAATGGCTTTTCTGGATACCACAGGCTCTTTGGTCCCACCAGCACATGAACCCTGGAGAGAACACAATGTTCCTGAAGATAAAGATGAAAAAGATAAATCAAAAAAACGACGACCTGTCTCAGTATCCCCCTCTTCCTCTCAGGAAATCAGTGAAAACCAATATGCAGTGATATGTTCGGAAAAACAAGCAAAAGTTATCTCACTGCCATCCCAGAACTGTATTTATAAGCAAAACATAACAGAGACTTCTTTTGTTCTTCGTGGAGATATAGTGTCATTGAGTAACAGTATCTGCCTTGCATGTTTCTGTGCCAACGGACATATTATGACTTTTAGGTAAGACGTGTTTGATAGTAGCTTAAATATAAAAATTTTTAAAAAGTCTTCTACTAAATAAAGTTTCCTTTTCCACAATAATAATAATAAATCTACATTTACTCAGTGTTGATGAACCTCTAACATGAGGCTTTGAGCAACCTGGTCTAGTGGAAGGTGTCCCTGGCCATGGCAGGGGGGTTGGAACTAGATGGTCTTTAAGGTTCCTTCCAACCCAAACCATTCTATGACTCTACTTGAGCCTGGATGATTTTGATTGTGCATTCCTAGTAGTTATGCCTTTCACACATGAAGTAATTTACCAGTTCAGCTCAAGCTAGCCTTGGTCAACAAATAGTTCTAAATGCGTGATACAGATCCTTGAGTTGATGAAGATTCTCAAATGTAAATTTACTCCCTGACTGAGAAATGGCCTTGAGAAAGACCTTTAGGTGGTGTCTGACCACAACTGTTTATTTTTGTGCAGCTGCTTTGCATCACACTCATGCCCCAAGCTTACTTCTTTGTTGTGTAGCTTCTTCATAGTTTAAAGGCCTTAAACTGAGGCTATAAAGGCAAAATTAATTACTAGTAGTTGTAGTATAGAAATAAGTCATCTAAAGTAAGGGGTTTAAGTTATGAGTTTAAACGTATTTAATGTTTGAATGTACTTACATGTCACTTACGTAATTTTAATGTGTCCTTTCTTGAATGTTTCCAAATGCTGTTTTATTCTGAACAGCAGTGTGTCCATATCTGTACTCTTGTACCAACGTTTCAGTTATGGTTAATGCAGAGATAAATGTGGAACATGGTATTATAAAATTGTGTTGGTAAAATTGCTAAAAGGTTATTTTTAAGGTTGCAAAAACAAGCTCTCAACTTGGGAAAATCTCTAAAAAGATATTTCTTCGGGAAGTTGTCAGGTATAGAACTAAAGGTGCTCTGAGGTACATTAAATGAATCGCTAAGTTTTGATTGTAAGCCTGTTAACTCCACTGACCTATACCCCAACATATATCCTAAATATTTAGAAAATGCTGCTGACCTTGCAAGGGCAAGCACTGTGTTTTCCCTATTTAAAACTGAACTTAATGTTCAGATACCATATATTCAAACAAACCCTGTTTTTTCTCAGTATTCATTTAGTTTTCTGAAGAACTCTGTATAGAGGTAGATGCTAAATTTATAAATACGGAATTGTTACATTGTGTAGTGAAGTTGAACTCCTGAGTATTAACTCCGTTTCATAAGGATGAATTGCTCCTGGGAATTGGACTTAATGTGCTGTTTGTGTCGAGTTGTCAGAACATCGTATGATACCCAAGGTGCCCAATACTTATTGACTGATACAAATTTAGATAGGACTTAACGATCCTGTTAAGGATCAGATTTGTTAATTTAATTTTGTTAATTAATTTTGTTAATTTAATTTAATTTTTGTTAATTTGTTAATTTAATTTTGTTAATTTAAACAGATTTGTTTGCTACACTGAAAATGCTGTCTGGATGATATGTTTGTCCTCTCTGATCTAATGTTTTTGTATTTTGTCTTAAAGTGGTAAGGGTGTTTTACGGTTCCATCAGTCTGAAGCCAAGCACTTTCCTGTTACTCTTAGAAATATTCTTATTTTAGATATGTGCACAGCAGAAATGTCATTTCTGCATGATGTGCTTACAAGAGAATATTGCTTGTTATTTCTTACCTCTAGAACTTGCCTCTAAAGTCGTGATTCCTGTTCTCCTTCCTTTGGTTTGTCATAGATGGAGTCTCCTGCTAAGAGGCAATCCACAATGTGTAAAATGCAACTGTAACACTCTAGAAATCTCAGTATCAAAAAAAAAAAAAAAAGAAAAACCAAACAAAACACCAAACACCAACAGCAACACTTACTGTTGAAACTACTACATCTGTCTTTCATTGCTTTTGGCTTCCCTTTGACAATTTACTGCCTTTTTTGTTTCTAAAAATAATAATCTTATGCAGATGGTATCAGCAACAGAAGCTGCTTAATGTACTGTTGGTACATTTGCAGCTAACATCTTATAAATTACAATTTCACAGGGGATGTTTTTAAGACAGTGGTTTATTGAGTTATATTTATCAAGACGTCAGGTGTTCAGTCACTTCTTAGTTGAATTTATTACTTCTTTTGAGGGAGAGAAATGGTTGGTAGCAAGAGCATTGTTACAGTCTGAGTGGTCTGCATCTGTTCTTCAGTAGCTTGATGCAGTAAGTACTGCAGCTACATCTGCAGAATCAGAAAATACAAGGTAAGCAAAGTTTGCTTTAAGAGGACTGCTTTAAATGTGCAGAAAAAAAAAGGTGAACATAATTCAAGAGATTGTTTGAATTCTGTTTTCCTTTGAAAGCACACCCCTGTGAATTTCTAAGTGTTCTTGAGGACAGGTCTTTAAGACTTGTATTTTTAGTCAAGGAGAAATTCTTCACCTTAGAGCAGGCAGGATGGAATTTGTAAATTAACTGTAAATTTTTGCAAAATACATATCAAAATATTTCATTAGTAATTAATAAATAATGCTTTAAGTGAATCTGTGCTTTACATGCTCAGAGCATAATTTAAATGATGCTTTTAAACAAATCTGTGATGCAGATGTTTAAGTCTCACCTTTGAGGTGCTACCTTGAAAAAAATCTCATATTTGTTTTGAAGTTTTTAAATTGCATTAAATGATACCTTGTTTATGTGGTACTTATGCAGATAGTGAAGAGAAAAATAATGCTTTGCAGTTTAAAAATGAGCCATTTGATCAATAATAGTTAATCCTGCTATATTTTTTAAATTCTTTTTTCTTAAGTTTGCCAAGTCTAAGGCCGTTGTTGGATGTGTATTACCTGCCACTCACCAATATGCGAATAGCCAGAACATTCTGCTTCACCAATAATGGACAAGCACTCTACCTTGTCTCACCAACTGAAATACAGAGGCTCACCTACAGTCAAGAAACATGTGAAAATCTTCAGGTAAAGAATTAAAAAAAAAAAAATTGCTGTTTTCTGAGACACACTCTGAGGTTTTTGGTTCTAGTTTTGTGATGCTTACAGTAATTAAGTTTGTCATAAAGCTGAGCAATATGGCTTTTGTGCTTTGATTTTTCTTGCTGTAGTGATTTAGGATGAATCACTTCTACTCCTACTGTTTCATCCATCCTTTTGTATTTGAAATAGTTTCTTAGTTTATTTCCTTTTTGATTGATAGAAAATTTCCTTGTTTAACATTCACTTAAACTCCCTCGTTCAATTGATCTGGCGGAGGTACCTGCTGACATAAGCAGGGAATACTAACTCAGGATACTTGAAGGAAACTACTGTGTTTCTCTCAGCCATGCCTCAGCTTGAAAGTATAAGTATTCAGTGTAATTCTGAAATAGCAAAGATGCAGGCTGTACACTCCACTTTGGTACCTCATATGGATATGAGTATTGTAGGTTTAGTTTCAACAGAACAGAATCAGGAGTGTTGCCCATGTTGCTGAGGGGCAAATACAGCTTAACTCAAACCCATTTCTTTGCTACTGAAATTCTTGAGCTATGAGCTTGCAATTATCAGAACAGATGGTTTGACAGTTTTCTTAATAGGCGGGTTTTTTTTATTTCCTATGTCTGCTTGCAAAGGCAGATGCCTATTTAAGCGCATTAATTTTGAAACACAAATCCATGAAATAAACCCTCAAAGTGAAATAATACTCCATTAGTTTGTGTGTGAAATAATGTGTGCCTTATCTCTCTTTCCTTGCAAAGGAAATGTTGGGTGAGCTCTTCACTCCTGTAGAAACACCAGAAGCACCGAACAGGGGGTTCTTTAAAGGCCTGTTTGGAGGTGGGGCACAGTCACTTGACAGAGAAGAACTCTGTAAGTTGTTAGTATTTATTATTTTTCTGGTTTTTCTACCCAAGGAAGTCAGTGATCCTTGAGAAATATTACCTGTGTTTAATAGAACATTACATTTGCAAACTTGAAAGTAAAAAAGGAATGGCAAACATTTTTTTCATAGCTTTTGTTGTACGCCTGCGCAACAAGCTCAGAAAAGCTTGGTGCTGTTTTCTCACAAGCTCCTTTACCTCATTGATCCAGGAGTAGACTATAAAACAAGAAATAGGACAACTGATCTTATTTTGATTCATTTTTATGAAGTTTATAGTACTGACTATAATTTTTTTACTGCTGTTAAACTGAAAGGGGCTGGTTCAGGACAACACTAGACAGTGAGAAAATGAAAATTGCATTCTAATTCAGTTCACTTGATAGATTTTTTTTTTTTCTTTTCCTTCTTTGACTTGTGCAGAAATACCTTAGGAATGAGACCAGGGACAGAACTGTGTGATAGTTCATTTCAGTCCTTTGTTCATAGGACAGTAAAATTCAGATTTGGCGAAGTATTTATTGCTTTATTGTTTTCTCATTTTTATTGCAGCTTTTTTTTACTGTGGTGTCATTCAGCATTTTACTATATTTAAGGAAAATAACTTCCACTTATTCAAACACCATATTATGCAAGTTTATTTGTAAGAACTTCTTAGCGTGGAACGTAGCTGTTAAAACAGACAAGGCTCCCTGACAATCCTTTCTTTTTTATTGGTTCTTTAGATCTATCCAGTTGTTGTGCCTGTACATTTTGAACAAATATCAAATATTTAGAGGTCACTTTGTGTTAAAAATTTGTCTTTAATTATGTAGAATCATAGAATGGTTAGGGTTGGAAGGGACCTTAAAGATCATCTAGTTCTAACCCCCCTGCCACGGGCAGGGACACCTTGCACTAGACCAGGTTGCTCAAAGCCACATCCAGTCTGGCCTTTGAAATGTTGGTCAAGTATTCTGAGAAATTTGTGTGCACAAATTTTGCTTAAGTAGTATGACTGGGAAAAACTGCTTTTTCATAATGACAGAAAAGCATTTTTGTAACTTTAGAAGCTGTTTTTACATCGTTGGAAGTGTCCACCATCAAGTTTTGGCTCAAATCTTCAGGCAGAAAACAGTATTGAATGGGAGGAAAAAGGCTAATAAATTGTAGCCTGAAAACAAGTCCAATGACAATTCAAAAGGCATCTGAAAATGTCTTTAAAATAGTCATATTTAACATGAGGTCACAGCAGAATCTGTAATAAATGACATAATTTATCTTTTTTCATTCTTGAGGATTCACAGAAAAGTTTTTATAGTGTTAGTTGGAATTGACATCATTAAAAATGTTAGATTATTTAGTTTTACTTTGGCATCCAAAAATGTTTTGGCCTTCACTTGGATTTTTGTAGCTTACAATTGAGCCTGTGATTAACATGTCCATTAATTGTCTAGACTGAACTAGGTGGTTGATCTCCTATTATGAGCAAAGGAGGTGTAGCCAGTGCAGTCACTGGAGTCAAGAGCCATTCAGCTGACCGTTTATGGGTGTTTACTTTAGAATGAGCTGATTTGTTCTTAGAGCTTTACTGCCTTTTCATGATTTGCATTACATTTTCTACAAGATTTTTACGATAATGACAGTGAAGACACCTAATCTTAAGGTGTCTGCATCTAAAGCTGAACTTCCATCAAAGGGAACTTCCACTGGTGGAGTCATACTGGCAGGCTACACTAGCAGAGCACTTGCAGAACTGGTCACAGCTTGTGTTTTCAAAATTCTGCTTTGTCTGCTGAATTCCCAACACCTTCCCTGGGAAGCGAGCTATGTTGTTAAAAACTACTAACACAGTTCTGTTGATGACTGTGACGCTAGCACTGTTGAGAGTGTTTTAATCTCACACTTGAGCTGTGAAAAGGTGGTAATATTATAACCTGCCTGGAAACTCTGAAATACATTTGAGAAATTTCAATTTTATGAAATAGTAACATTTAGTAACATTGAATAGTGATTATTGCTCGCAGTCACGCCTGTGATCAGGTGTTCAGTGTCCATCCAAAGAAATGAGGCTTCTTTATAAACTAGTAACGTTGGTATTTATGTAATAATGATGGAAAACCTTATTATTCTGTTTTTGCTGTTTTTCAAATGCTTCCAGTTGGAGAATCAGCATCTGGGAAGGCATCAAGAAGTCTTGCCCAGCATATTCCAGGGCCTGGGGGGATTGAAGGTGTCAAAGGAGCAGCATCTGGTGTAGTTGGTGAACTAGCACGAGCCCGGTTGGCACTAGATGAAAGAGGACAGAAACTAGGAGAACTGGAAGAAAAAACTGCAGCTATGCTTTACAGTGCCGATTCTTTCTCTAAACATGCTCATGAGGTGAGTCTGTTGCATGTATTCCATAACCAAATTAACATGCAAGTTTTGCAAGTAACAACTTTTGCAAAGGCATGTCAGAGGTATCTAAAGGGAATGCAATATCATTGGTAAAGAACACTTCATTTTATCTATTAATCATTACTCCTAATAATCGAGCATTAATGTGAGCAGCTTTGTCTTATGGCACGTTGGTCTAGAGCCTACCCTCTGAGTGGCATGTAGGCTTCTAAAAGTGCTTCCCATTACTCAAGAAATTTCCCACCAAACTGGATAACAAGAGTAATGCTCTGTGTGAGATTCCTGTGGTTCTTAGAAAAGATCCAGTGGTTGTGTGCAAACCCTGTGAATCCAAGCTTTTTTTTTTCGTTCTCCTCAGTAACTACATTGGATGGCTCTTCTCTTCTGTGTTCATGCAGATCTCTTTCTATCCCCTGAACTCTTGTGTAACTTCCCATTCTCCCAAAAAAGGCTTTTTGTTTGAGGCTAAATCAGCAGTGTCTGCTGCCATTAGCAAATTCATCATGCTAAACACTCACTGTTCAGCAATGCTGTTGCAATTTTAAGAAGCCTTACTAAAGTCCCTCTTCCTCATGCTGCTTTTGTAAGCATATAATTTGTGTGTTGTCATCATATTTTTTGTATGTTTTAGACTAATGAGATTTTTTTGTTGTTTTTTAGATGATGTTGAAGTACAAAGACAAGAAGTGGTACCAATTCTGATGATGGTCATTAATTACATGTGTTTAATTTTGTCCTGATGAAAAAATCTTTTTTCATTAATTTTGGCAGGACCGTGGAAATTTAGAGGAGTATTCACCATTGGATACTGTTGTTTCCTAGCACAAATCACAGTTTTACCTCAGTCATGGCTGTAACTGAGGAGCTTTATCCTTAAAAGAAACACACACAAGAAAAAAAGCTTGAGTGTTTCTTAGCTGTTGGTTAGCTGAGAGTTGGAACAGAGAAGGTAACTAGAACATATGTGAAAGAAGGTAAAAGGAAAATGTAGTGTGAGATGGGCAGGGGCAATGCAGGGTCACTCCTGTGTTAATATTTCATATGCCAAAAGTTTTTGTGCTATTGTAACTGCTGCCAGTGTTATACCCTCCTGTGAGGAGAGGCAATAAATCAGGGGCCCAAGAGCTGGAATAAAGTTGTTTGTCTTGCTGGACGGTAGCTGACTTACACTTACCCTCTCTAAGACTCACTATATTTACTGTTGTTGAAGAAGGGTTGAAGTTTGCTGTCACTTTGTTCATTGGAAAAGCTGGAAGCTTGGAAGATTTCATGTTGAAAATTGTATACATAGTTGACCTGTGCATAGTCACTTCTTGGACCCTCGATCTCGTATTCTTGTAGTCACATCATATTCTGTGAAGTGCAAAACAAGAGAATACACATTTTTGCATTAAAAAAATCAAGTGAATAATATGACTGGAATGTGTCATGCTCTGGGAGTTTTCATTTGTGTTATAGCTGTGCAATGTGAAACGTGGTAACATCTTCATTGTGGTAAGAATACTTCAACTTCTGTTCAGTTAAATATTATTTTTTGCCAAAAAAATTATTTTTTCAGTTTGTGTAATGTTTAGAATTGGCTGTGGGTTCCATTCATGCTGTGAATTTTTATAAATGTTAAACAGAATGTATCTTTACAGCCATTATTTAAAATAGCTGAGAAAGCTTTGCTCAAAACTTAAATTCTAGATGCCCCTTTAGCCCTTTACTATGAAATCAGATCATCTTGGACTCAGGTTTTCAAACAGTTTTACACTCCATGGGGGTGCTGATGCATGAATAATGGCAAGCATCTAATATTTAGTAATCGTCAGTATATTGATTAGTGAATTTCTAAATCCTCCTAGTACCTATCTTGGCCCCACCCACCACTGAAGGCAGTTGGCCTGAAGTTTGGGTTGAGTCTCTAAAGTGGTGTTTTGAATTATGTGGACAGTGGTAAGTGTCCATGAAAACTTCAGGAACTGGTGAAATAATGTTTGGGTTGGGTGAGGTAAATAATAGAGCTGAGCTAACTTGTTAATGGATGCTGCACTAAAGCTGTGATAGTGGGAATGAGCTCTTTTTAAGGAATTCTCTCCTTTAAAAAAAAAACTTGCATTTCAAAAATTAATTTAGACCTTCTTTACTCAAAGCAGGTATAGTTACTGGCTGATTTTGTTTTATAAAAGGGAGTGCTTGGAAGCTGAGAGGTCTACCTTGTCTGAAACTAATCAGTTGGGTTTGCTTCTCCAAGCATCACATTCTGTGTGGGTGTGTTCGCACACTTTCTGAATGTTCACAAAGCAAAACCTTGGTTATATTTATGTTGCAGCCACACAGATAAGGCAACCTTATAAAACACTTAAAGTGTGCAAAATATTGAAGTTACTGATGGTTCTTAATACATTCTTCAAATGGAAGACAAATGTTTGTCTTGTAGCACAAATAGGTAAATTTTTTTAATTTTCATATGTAGTAACATTTAAGAGAGGACACGTGAAGTCTCTTGCCAGTACGAGGGCATGCCATACCGTGTCCACTGCTGGAAGAACATAACAAATGAGGATATGACAATTTGAACAAGCAGCATTACGATTTGTTGATGACTGTCCCATACCTACTGAAGCAATGTTACCTCCAGCTATTTAACTCAGCTTGCCACACAGTTTTTTTGCCTCTGCATGTTCATTTCTTTTTTTAGTGTCTAATTAGTGTGTTTAATAACATTTTGTCAAAAATCCCAGTAGAAGAAAACTAGATAAACTGCTCTATAGACCCTAAACACCCTAGCTGACACTTATCCCCTTATCTCACATTTTTAAATTGAGATGACTGATTATTATTTTGCCTGTTGAAGATGAACTACGTTTCAGAGCAATAGAGTCCTGGAAAATTAACATAGTCAGGCCCTGGGGGAGAGGATGGCAAAAGTACTCTTCAGCAAACCACGGTGTCAGTTCAATGGAAGACGACCTTGGCTTGAAAGGAAAGCTTACTTAACTTTCCCATCAAGAAACATTTGACAAACACCAGCAAGCAAAAAAAAAAAAAAGCAGCAGTGAGAGACCATCTGCCAGTACAAGAAGAGTAGTGGCTTACTTGGTATTATAGAATTTATCATAGTTGAATCCTTTTTTCTGTTGTGTATGTTCAGAGCATGCTTCTAGACTTGAAAACTAGTGAAATGATTGCTCATGAGATGAATACAAAAATGGTTCTTGGTCAATAAAAGGGGCTATGTACAATTTTAATCTAAAACGTTTTTTTCCTTCTCTCTGGAAGGAACTTAATCGTATACACATCATTGCATCTTATTCTGCTATTGGTGGTGCACCTTTTGTACAGCAAAGTATATTGAAATCCTTGGGGGGAAGCACCCCTGGTTTTTTGGCTAGCATTTTAGTTGTGTGAAACTTTTTTAGAGTGTCTGGAAAACTATAAAATACAACTGAGCTATTACTTTTTTATTTTTTGATGGAAGTGTAAGAAACTGCTGCTACCTATCTGTTTATATGTAGTGTGTCTCATTAGGAACTGTAAACTGAAGAAGCTTTTCTTCACCTTAGTCCTGCCAAACTGTAACTTTTGAATGTTGATATGTGTAAATATGTGTGTATCCCAAATAAGTCTGAAAGTGTTACACCACAGGCATCTCCAGTGATTTGTTCTTCAGCAAACAGCCAGTTATAGAATGTAGTAATATATAGCTGTGTTCCTTGTCTGTCTTTATGCAAAGGTTTTTGCCTGAGGTGGTACTTGCATGGCAGGTGATGTTGGAAAGCTACATCCAAAGGAGGATTTTTGGAAGCAAGTTAATTTTGGTTTTGCCTTTCTTGTTTTCCTTTTCTCCTTTCCTTTTTTTTTTTGCTTAATTAATGGCACTGATCTTACCTGAACTTTAAACTTGAATTTTTCCTGCACTTTAATTAAATCATGGTATTTTATTCCTTAATTTTGTTTCTACGTTTTTGTAGTTCAGGTTCATTATTTGTATATAAACACACACATTCAGTGAAGACTTCAGAACAGATTACTTTCAGGCACATTTGCTAATTACGTGAGTATCATTTAGAATGTGTGTTTTCTTAGCAAAATATGTATATACAAGTATATACAATATAGAATCTAATGAGAGGCACTTATCCTGTGTCGACATTCAGTTTATAAATTTATTCAACACTTGCAGATTTGTTACTAGATAATACAATAAAATCTGTTATATTTATACATACTGCTTAAGAATATACTTTTAGTTTTAAATAATTTTTATATGTACACTTCTACCTTTAATTTTAAAAATACTTATGTTTGATTTTTAAGTCAAAGTACTTAAAGTGTGTATATTATCCATAGAAGAAGTTGTTTTAAGCTTATGAATACATTCATATCTCATATCGAGATGATACAATTACTAAGAAATGAAAACAAATAGCCCTTTTTGCTTTGCAGAAAATTATCATACTTATTTTTACTTCCTAATTTGATCATTCTTAAACAATTCCCTAAGTATGGAGAGGGAAGATGGTGCAGTCAGAAAACTAACCTAATGTAAAAGATTTCTCAATGGCTGCGGTCTGTGGCTGACTGATTTTTCTATGATTTTAGGGGGTTTTAGGTATACACATGAAAGACTATTTTTCAGCTCTGTTCCTTGGACTTTTAAAATTCCCCAAAACTGAAGTGAGGCTTGTCCAGTAAGTATTTTCTTTGAGTAGTGTAGGAATCTTGATTATACATCAGCTCTTTACATGTAAATCGCGGGGGTTTGTATACCAAAAGTGTGTTGGAGAACTTATAGCCTGTGGCTGAAGTGCCCTGTTCTTTCTCATCATGGTTTCATATCCCTGGGTGTGCGTTGACAGCAGCTGAAGTTTTGGGGGGATGGGGGGAAGGCGTGCAAAGCTTGGCTTCCCTCCCTGAGTTACGGGGTAACTTGTCCGTTGAACCTATTCTTCGTTCTAGACAATTTCCTGCGTAACTTACGTGGATCTGTTTGGGTGGTTGTTGACAACTTTACTATTACCACAAAATCTTCAAATACTTTGTAGACAGAAATTAACGAAGTTTGAGGGGAGGAAGTAAGTAAAACAGGAAAAACAACCGATGTGTAGTGTAGGCGAGTCTGCTAAACTGATTTAATTTCTGTTTTCATTCAGAAGCTAAGTTGAGCTGGGCCAATTTGTCCTTCTTATGCATGTTACGGAGATGTGCTGTAGATCATCCACGTTACTGTTTCAAGCCAGATGAGTGTACTGTTTCTGGGTTCCCTTATACTTTATAAAAATTTAGGCTTTAAAGATGTGGGGATTCATTTGAAAACAGAGAAATGAGACAGAAACATAGAACAATCAAATGAAAGGTGTCAATCAGTATTGCTTTTAGTTTTACATGTAAGGCGTCTAGAAACGTTTGTCATACAGCTGTAGGTTTCTTTGACACATCTGGTTTTGTCAGTACCCGAGTTACATGTTACCAGGCAAATAATAACTAGAAGTTAAACTGTTTCAGTTGAAAACATGTAAGGAGTTGTATGTGGATTACCACTACCATACAGTAATAGATGATGCAAAGGGAGAGGGGTGGGAACATGTTTTAAATATTCCCTTTTGAAAAAGAGTTGTAAATAAGCAGTACTGTGTTATTTTAGACCTGAGCTCGGCTTTCTGTAGTGGTTAGAACTAGGAAAACATGCTGCTTTCTAGTTATGCTGTTTCATTGTACCAGCACCATGGGGGAAGCATACAAAAAACCCATCAGTAAATTTTTCTAACATGGCCCACGCGTGGGTAAGCATGCTTGGTGTGTAGCAGTTCTCGTTTATGTATATCTTGTTGTGTACACGTGTGTTTTCTTTTTTTCTTTTTGTTCATTGCAACTTATTCTTCAGTTAAGTCTTGCTGAGCCCCACTAGCTCTTCTGAGGGTGATTACTGGAATATGCATTTTAGGTAAGGTTGCAAATCCATCTGTCTACGAATAATAGT